CCACCCACCCACTAAAACCACATGTTTGAGAGCTGTTACTATAGCAGTTTAAGATTCATTACCTTGTTCACTTTAACAAACCACCACACTGGGAGGGGTTGCTTTCAGCTGTGCTTGCTGGCCGTGGTGGCGGTGGCAAGGCCTGAGATTTCACGTGCACTGAGACACAAGCCTGTTGTATTGTGAGCCAGATCTGCTGACCTTATAGGAGAATTTAACACAGATGAGAAAAACTGAATCATAAAAGTGTTTGATAAAAGCAAAGCTGAGTTTGATGAGGCACAGAAAATCTGACAAATGAAAACCTCTCAACTCCCACTGACCCTGGGGATCAGTGAAAAGAGAACAAGACGCTTGTTTTTCACATAAAGGCTGGAGCCATGGCTTTAGTGGAAGTGTTGAAGTATGTGTTCATATATGTAATTCTTTTCTAATTTATGTGCATTTGTTATTGTATTAATTATTGTGGTATGTTACCTTTATTAAATTTTCATTCTCCTTTATGTGATCTTTAATGTTTCACTTCCTATTTTATCTAATTAGTTGGAAGTCTGAGCAGTAAAAGCTTGTGCAGCAGCTGTACATACCTGAGCTTAAATCCTGAGTCTGAGCTTCACTCTGGAAAGGGGAGAAAGGACAAGACAGGAGAAAGACTGGTGCTGGTGGCAGAGGTGGACGGGGTGTTTAACTGATGTCAGCTGAGAGGCGTAAGGGTCAGAGCAGAGGGTGGTCATCCGGCCCCGTCACTTAGCCAAGGCCCAGCGTGCCCCAAGCAGCTGCTGCTCATTAACCCGCTGACAAGAGCTCCAGGCCCCAAGCAGCATCGCCCCACCCAGGAAGGTCATGGGGTCAATCAGCCCTCTCTCTGGCCATCAAATCAAGATGGATGCACAAGCAGTGACTTGTCCCCCAAATCAAAGGGTCAGTGATGCATTGTCAGGCACATCAACACGGAAACATAACACACATCCATGCAAACACACACACACACAGAAACACAGCTAAAAACAAATTGATTTATCAAAGGTGTTAAGACTTTTTTAGACTAATCTACTTTTAGCCAATCTTAAACAACAGAGACAAGCAGAATATAAAGACATGACATCTGGCTAAACCTGCCTGACATTTAGAAAATATTTTTACATCTGGACTTGGCCTAAAAACCAAGTCCAGATGATTTTTTTCTACATTTTATCAGTTTGTGTTTAGCCATGCATTACTACAAATCATCCATTGTATATAGGTACATATGTTTATTAAAGGATTGCAGTTTTTGTCATTTTGTCTTTTATTTGCTATTCTATGTTTTATTTTGTTTTTATTCTATTTTGTTTGGTGTATATTAGGGACCACTGAACTGGAGTCAAATTCTTTGTATTTTTAACATACTCTGCAATAAAAAATATGATTGATTGATTGAAATAAATCATAACATTAAGAATTAATGAATCAAGTGGCACAAATTCCTCCAACCAAGTGGAGTTTTATCATTTGAGATAAGTTAGTTCCTATAAAATTCTCTGTAACTATTATATAATGCTGTATGCAACAGCGGGATTTTCTGTTTTGCTTTATAGCTGTCAGCCTGGAGCAGAACTAGCCAAAAAATGAGTCTCAGAGAAGTCTAACAAACTGTTTCTGAGGGTACAAAGGCTGTGTTCTTATTATTCCGTCCCTCCTGTGTTTGTAATATACTACAAGTAGAGGCTAGTTTATTTGAATGTCAAGCTTCAGCCTATTTTAAATAAAAAGATTTATGAAGTAGCTATCATTACACCATTACTGATGGTACTGTAATAGTCTGAATGATATTTTCTCACTAACAAAGATATGCAAATGGAACTTACATTTTTTAAGCTTGTCTGAAAGATGCACTTAAAAGATGTTCTCCCCACAAGAAGTAAGGTGCAGAACCTCTCTACAACTTAATACCTGTGGTAAAACCAATACATTTACATACATACCAGAACGTTTACAAAATGGAGCCACTACAGGTCACACTCTTGACAAACTATGTGACAAAGTACTCCTCATTACTAAGTCTAATTCCAGATGAGTTTTTTCACAGCTAAAATTACACCACTCATTTAGGACTAAAGGCTTTAAAGAGGGTTCAGAATTGGTCTTAAATGGCCACGAGGGTTGAAGAGGTTGTTGTCTTTCTTAGAAGACTGAAGAATGGATGAATGTACTTCACGCATTTGTGTGAGGAACCATCATAATGAGGGTGCTACAAGTATATTACACCTCTGAGCTGATTAGTTTGCCTTGAGCGAATGCTGCTCCGAGTGGAATTCTTTTTTTTATGTGTGTGAGAGGGGAGTGCTGCTATTTAAAAACTCTTTGGTGTGAAGAAAACAATTTAGCAAAAGAGAGACTGACATATCATAGGAAAGAAATGTTCATGTTGTGTGGTGGGGGTTGTTGTAAAATCCCATAGATCCATCTACACACCTGATTCTATTATATAAACACAAATTGCATTATTTAATTGGTGTAAGTGAATTAATCTCTGATATTCTATTTGCACAAAACCTGAAACTTCATCTGGATTTTGTACATTTCATATATAAATGTATGATAGCTCTATTTGACTGATATTTACCCAAATCATTTTGAAGGTAATTAAATCAGCATAACACAACAAAATAGGGCAACACTTTGCATTAGGTCACCCTTTTTAAAAGTACTGATTTTAAATAAATGTTACAATGTGCACTATCAAGTTAATACAATACGGCTGTGGCTCAGGAGGTAGAGCGGGTTGTTTCCTAACCGGAGGATTAGCGGTTCGATTCCCGGCTTGTCCAGTCAACATGTTGAGGTGTCCTTGAGCAAGACACTGAACCCCCAGTTGCTACCGGTTTGGGAGTGTGAATGGCCGAATAATGTGAAAGTGCTTTGAGTGTGCTGTAAAAGCATAGAGAGGCCCTATACAAGTACAAGACCATTTACAACATGATATACTCTGTACAGTTTGGATCAATTTTCATGTACTGCAAGGGATTATACAGAGTTGCGTTGCACTGATGCAAACCTTTATCTTAATCACTGTGTCCACTCTGTTATTTCTGAGCACATCTTATTTTTCACCATCTTAACAAAATGGCAGGTTTTCAAAGCTTGAATTATTTTATGGCAAAAATCAAATCCTAACCAGAAATGACCCACCTGGATCTGTTATTCAGAAGCAACCAGCGGTGCCACGCTAGTGCGTTTTAACCCTATCTGTGGTTTGATGCCTGTCTGACATTCATAATCTCGATTATCTTTGAATCTCAGATGGTCTGAGACAGACAGTAGGGGACCAGAGGAATAAAAAGATACTTAACAGATAAAATCTGTAACTGAATTGGTATAAGAGCTGTGCGTAACGGCTTTGCGTATGTGTGTGTACATGTTTATGTGTGTGGTAGTGGGGGTCTAACTGTCTGACACCTGCAGCTCGTCATACTCAAAATGCAAATCCAAGCCTACACTCCCTCCACAACCCCTCCCTCAAACTCTAAGATCCGAGGTTACTGAGCAACAACTTTCACAAATCTAGATCAGATTTAAACAGTAGTACAAAAAGAGTCTTGACAGCACTTAACACAGTCTTAAAGCTTTTTTCTGATCATCATGATTTATAGGACAACATGCTCAAGCAAGTGTCCTCATGCAAATATTTACAAGATAGTTTTAAGTGATAACTATATATAGAAAACTGATAAGTGCATAAACAAATCTTGGAATTTGTAATTGCTGATAAAAACCTCAGTCTGCATTATCTATAAAAATAAAATGCTTGCTTATTTTACAAATTGTAATAATGTGAAATGTGATGACAAGAGAATTTGAGAAGTGGTTTAATTTACATTGCCAAAACAAGCCTGACTGAAGTATTATTTTAAATAATAAACAACAGTAAGCTTTAACATTTGCATAAAATCAAGCAATCCCTGAAAGCTCAGAATGAAGATGCTTTATATGAGAAAGATGTGATCTGGAAAAGCTGACTTTGCCTATGCTGGTTAAGCCTGTGCGCTGTGAAACAGCAAAATGCCAGACTTTTGCTTACCAAAAAGCAGCTGCACGCCCTCACGTCAGCAAACATCTGCCTTTACGAAGGCAACAAGATGCACAAGATGCTGAAACCCTGACCAGCATTAGGTTGCAAACCTTGCAGCTGAGCCTGACCTCTGACCTGGCTGCTGGGTGTTACTTAAGAGCATTTCCCTGTGGGGAACAAGTATTGTTGTTTGTGGAGTAAATGAAGAAAGGCACCTGTTTCACTGGGTACCACGTTTGCTGTGCAGGTGGTTAGTGATGCTCTTGAATGTAACCCAGCTCTGTAGTGCCATCTATTGACCAGTCTGCACAGCACAATACAGCAGCATGGAGATTGGAAGATCTACATTCTAGAACCAAATGCTAGAAACTGTCACACATATTCAGTCTGTACAGATTTAAGCTACTGTAGGTTCTCAAAGTTGTTTTCATCCTGTTAGCAACAGGCTTCCAAACAGTAAGTACATTTCCCTCAGTAAGTATTTAAAGGGTGTGGACATAATCTATAAAAACAAAATAAAATATCAATTTTGTAAACACATGTGGTCTACAACCTGTTAGATTTACTGTCGTCAAATATGTTTTTCTATATTATAATTAGTATTAATACCGATTGTTGTATCTGTTAGTATCAACAATATTATCATTGAGTTTTATTTGAATAGTGTTACTAGTTATCCTGAATATATCTTGCAATTTGAGCTTGACTTTGAATCCACATAGTCAAGCAGCGCCACCAAGTGGTGACGAGGTTGTGGCGAACTGACAGTTTGACTTATTTTACTACGTTGGTTTATTTAAGTCTTAGATACAAGGTAATAATTGTGAGATGTAAGCTGTTGCCTAATTTCTTTGCACTGAATTTCATTTAAAAAATTTACTGAATCAACGTGAGACTGAGTGAATGAATGAGCGGACTGCAGTACGTAATGTCCACAGTCTCTTTCATGGAACAACATTAAGCCAACTTGGCCGGTGTACCAGTTTAGATCATGTTACTGTTCCATGCCTTGTTCCGCGTATCAAGTCCTCCATCATCGGATTTCCGGTACAATATTTCACAACAAAACTCATTACAACAATGTTGGGGTTTTTCCTACACACGGGTTGCATTTACTTTGAAAGAAAAACAGTCCTTCCCGTTCGTACTCTGTCTAATCTATAGTTGACTTGACGTAGATACCAAAAATAAGTCAGTGTGCTAAGAGGAAAAGGCCCATCTAAATAAAATAATATAATAAGAGCAAGGTGCGGATGGTTATTTAACCTAATGTTTTGCATTTGTCAGAAAATCAATTAGCCTAATTGTATTTCACCATCAAGTGACACCCCCTTGGTCTAATGAAAGCAGGATTTACTTTTTCATAGTCACAGACCTATGCCGAGGAAATGTTAAAAGTGATATACATTATAGGATGATTGTAAAATGCATAAACTTCAGCTAAAGTGTCTTGACATTTTTTATATTTCTTTACTTCATTTAAAAACATTTGGAAACGCAGTGAAACCAAGAAATGTATGTTTGAATTGTGGAGGATGAGGCTGTTCACCAGCAGGACTTTAGGAAAAAAAATCATTCTGGGGATTAGATTAGATTACAAATAAATAATAATAATCAAATTACACAGATTGTGCCCTTTAAACGTCCCCGGCTTGGTCGACTCTTGACTTCTGGAAGATGGCGCACGTTTTGACCTTCAACCTGGGATATTTATTCAACCTCGTCCATCTGTTTGACAAAAGACAAATCCATCACTCAAAATTCTCGCGATAAATAACGCTGATATATTAGGACAGATGGGGGAGCCTCGTCCACTTGGAGTGGCGTTGGGTTTACATGTGGACCTTGGTGAGCTTTGGATAAGTCAAGGGTCTCAAATTTGCACAAGAACTACCCAACCATGTCGGACGCGGTGATTAGTTTCCTGAAGGATTTTTTGGCTGGTGGCATTGCCGCTGCCATTTCTAAAACAGCTGTCGCTCCTATTGAGAGAGTCAAGTTG